TAATTAATTAATTAATTAATTAAGCCAATCCCCTGCGGTATCTCTGGTGGGATCGTTGGGACGGCCCTGATTCCCGACGTTCCTCCAGATTTTGGGGGATTTTCTGGGAATTCTCCCACCGGAGACGGATCCCGGAGGAGAAACCGCGAGGGGACACCCGAGGGGACATCGGTGGGGTTTGGAGACATCTGAGGGGACATCTGAGGGGTTTGGGGACATCCAGGAGATCGGGGTGGGGATGGTCCTTGAGGCCTGGTGGGAACGTCAGGATGGAATCCCATCAAAACCATCCCTGAGGTGACACCAGTGGGATTTGGGGACATCCAAGAGATCGGGGTGGGGATGGTCCTTCAGCCATGGTGGGAACGTCGGGATGGAATCCCATCAAAACCATCCTGGAGGTGACACCGGTGGGATTTAGGAGATCCGGATGGGGGTGGTTCTTCATTTGTGATGGGAACGTCAGGATGGGATCCCATCAAAAGCATCCCTGAGGGGACATCGGTGGGATTTGGGGACACCCAGAAGATCAGGTGGGGATGGTCCTTCAGCCATGATGGAATCCCATCCATAACCACCCCTGAGGGGGCACCAGGAAGGGATTTGGGGACAGCCAGGAGATTGGGGTGGGGATGGTCCTTCAGCCATGGTGGGAACGTCAGGATGGAATCCCATCAAAACCACCCCAGAGGTGACACCAGTGGGATTTAGGAGATCAGGGCAAGGATGGTCCTTCAGCCATGATGGAATCCCATCAAAACCATCTCCAAGGGGACATCGGTGGGGTTTGGGGACACCCAGGAGATCAGGGCAGGGATGGTCCTTGAGGTGTGGTGGGAACGTCAGGATGGAATCCCATCAAAGCCATCCCAAGGTGCCATCCCACCACCCTGAGGTGACATCCCACCACCCCGAGGTGACATCCCACCACCCCGAGGTGCCATCCCACCAGTCTGAGGTGACATCCCACCACCCCGAGGTGACATCCCACCACCCTGAGGTGACATCCCACCAGTCTGAGGTGACATCGGTGTCTTCTCCTGCAGGGGTGGCCATCAGCACCTACGCCAAGTACTGCTACAACAAACTGCAGAAGGCGGCGCTGACCGGGGCCAAGAAGGTACCGGACGGTGGGGTGGGGTGGGATGGGGTGGGGTGGGATGGAGAAGGTGACCTTCCCTGGGACCTCCAATGGAACCATCTGGAGCTGGTGGGGTGGGGTGGGCTGGAGAAGGAGGTGACCTTCACTGGGATCTCCACAGGGGCCATCTGGGGCTGGTGGGGTGGGCTGGAGAAGGAGGTGACCTTCACTGGGGACCATCCTGGGCTGGTGGGGTGGGATCGGCTGGAGGAGGAGATGACCTCCACAAGGACCTCCACCAGGTCTCCGCTGTGACCTTCACCAGGACCATCTGGGGCTGGTGGGGTAGGACGGGGTGGAGAAGGTCACCTCCACCAGGACCTCCACCAGGACCTCCACCGGGTCTCCACTTTGATCTCCACCGGGACCATCTGGGGCCGGTGGGGTGGGATGGGCTGGAGAAGGAGGTCATCTCCACCAGGATCTCCACCAGAACCATCTGGGGCTGATGGGGTGGGGTGGGCCAGAGAAGGAGGTCACCTCCACCAGGAGCTCCACCAGGACCTCCATGGGATCTCCACCAGGACCATCCAGGGCTGGTGGGGTGAGCCAGAGGAGGTGACCTTCAATGGGACCATCTGGGGCTGGTGGGATGGGCTGGAGAAGGAGGTCACCTCCACCAGGAGCTCCACAAGGACCTTCATGGGATCTCCGCCAGGACCATCTGGGGCCAGCGGGGTGGGATGGGCTGGAGAAGGAGGTCACCTCCACCAAGACCATCTGGGGCTGGTGGGACAGGCTGGAGGAGATGACCTCCACCAGGACCTCCACCGGGTCTCCGCTGTGATCTCCACCAGGACCATCTGGGGCCGGTGGGGTGGGATGGGCAAGGAGGTGACCTTCACTGGGACCTTCACCGGGATCTCCACCGGGACCTCCACCAGGACATCTGGAGCCGGTGGGGTGGGATGGGCTGGAGAAGGTCACCTCTACCAGGAGCTCCACCAGGACCTCCATGGGATCTCCACCAGGACCATCTGAGGCCRGTGGGGTGGGACGGGGTGGAGAAGGAGGTCACCTTCACCAGGAGCTCCACAAGGTCTCCACTGGGATCTCCACCGGGACATCTGGAGCCAGTGGGGTGGGATAGGCTAGAGAAGGTCACCTCCACTGGGATCTCCACAAGAACCTCCACCAGGACCATCTGGGACCGGTGGGATGGGCTGGAGAAAGAGGTCACCTCCACCAGGACCATCCTGGAGCTGGTGGGACTGGTGGAGGGGCTGGAGGAGGTCACCTCCATTAGGAGCTCCACCAGGACCTCCACCAGGACCATCTGGGGCCAGTGGGGTGGGATGAGCTGGACAAGGAGGTCACCTCCACCAGGTTTTCCTGCAGAATCTCCATCAGGACCATCCTGGGGCTGGTTGGGTGGGATGGGCTGGAGAAGGAGGTGACCTTCACTGGGATCTCCACCGGGACTTCCACTGGGACATCTAGAGCCGGTGGGGTGGGATGGAGGAGGAGGTGACCTCCACCGGGATCTCCACTGGAATCTCCATTGGGACCATCTGGGGTTGGTGGGGTGGGACGGGCTGGAGAACGGAGGGAGGTGGGGACGGGGCGTGGTCAAGGGGAGATTTGGTCAAAGGCATCTCCAGAGCGGGTGGGGACTGCTGGAGAACTTCTGGAGAACTTCTGGAGAACTTCTTGGGAACTGCTGGAGAACTTCGGGGAACTTTTGGAGAACCGGAGAATTTTCTGGAGAACTTCTGGGGAACTCCCGGAGAACTTACGGGGAACTTCTGGGGATCTTCTAGAGAACTCCTGGGGAACTTCTGAAGAACTTCTGGAGAACTTCTGGAGAACTCCTGGAGAACTTCGGGGAACTTTTGGAGAACCAGATAATTTTCTGGAGAACTTCTGGGGAACTTCCGGGGAAATCCTGGAGAACTTCTGAAGAACTTCTGGGGATCTTCTGGAGAACTTCTGGGGATCTTCAGGAGAACTTCTGGGGATCTTCTGGAGAACTTTGGAGAACTTGTGGAGAACTTTCTGGGGATAGTCTGGAGAACATGTGGGATGTTCTGGAGAATTTCTGGAGAACTTCAAAGGGTCTTCTGGAGAACCTGAGAATTTTCTGGAGAACTTTCTTGGGATCTTCTGGAGACCTGGGCATCTTCTGAAGAACTTCAGGGGATCTTCCAGAGAACTGGAGAATTTTCGGGAGAACTTTCTTGGGATCTTCTGGAGACCTGGAGAGCTTTCTGGACAGTGGAGATCTGGAGCTCTGGAGTACCTTGGAAGATCTTCTGGAGAGCGTATGGGAATCTTCTGGAGAACTTCTGAGGATCTTCTGGGAATGTTCCAGAGACCTGGAGAGCTTCTGGAGAACTTAGGGGGAATCTTCTGGAGATCTTGTGGAGACCTGGAGATCTTCTTGTGAACTGCTGGAGATCGGAGAGTGTATGGAAATCTTCTGGGAACCTTCTGGAAAATCTCTGGAGACCCTGTGGGGAGGACCTTCAGGGGACCTTGGGGAGAGGACCTTCTGGGACCTTCCTAAGGACCTTCTAGAGAACTTTCTGGAGAGCTTTCTGGAGAACTTTCTGGAGACCTTCTGGAGACTTTCTTGAGAACTTTCTGGAGATCTTCTGGAAACCTTCTGAAGATCTTCTGGAGACCTTTCTTGAAATCTTCGGGAGAACTTTCTGGAGAGCTTCTGAAGACTTTCTGGAGAACTTTCTGGAGAACTACTGGAGATCTTCTGGAGAACTTTCTGCAGAACTTTCTAAAGACTTTTGGAGAACTTTCTGGCGACCTTTTGAGAACTTTCTGGACACCTTCCAGAGACCTTCTGGAGACCTTCTTGAGAACTCTCTGGAGAACTTTCTGGAGACCTTCTGGAGAACTTTCTGAAGAACTGCTGGAGACTTTTGGAGAACTTTCTGGTGACCTTCTTGAGTACTTTCTGGAGAACCTTCTGGAGAACTTTCTGGAGACATTCCAGAGAACTTTCTGGAGAACTTTCTGCAGAACTACTCGAGACGTTCTGGAGAACTTTCTGGAGACATTCGTGAGAACTTTCTGCAGAACTTTCTGGAGACCTTCTGGAGAACTTTCTGAAGACTTTTGGAGAACTTCTGGCGACCTCTTGAGAACTCCCTGGAGAACTTTCTGGAGAACTTTCTGGAGAACTTTCTGGAGAACTAATGGAGACTTTTGGAGAACTTTCTGGCGAACTCCTGAGAATTCCCTTGAGACCTTCTGGAGACCTTCCAGAGAACTTTCTGGAGAACTTTCTGCAGAACTACTCAAAGCGTTCTGGAGAACTTTCTGGAGACATTCTTGAGAACTTTCTGCAGAACTTTTTGGAGACCTTCTTGAGAACTTTCTGGACAACTTTCTGCAGAACTACTCGAGATGTTCTGGAGAACTTTCTGGCGACCTTTTGAGAACTTTCTGGACACCTTCCAGAGACCTTCTGGAGACCTTCCGGAGAACTTTCTGGAGAACTACTGGAGACTTTTGGAGAACTTCCTGGAGACCTTCTGGAGAACTTTCTGGACATCTTCTGGAAACCTTCTGAAGACCTTTCTGGAAATCTTCTGGAGAACTTTCTGGAGAGCTTCTGAAGACCTTCTGGAGAACTTTCTGGTGACCTTCTGGAGAAATTTCTGGAGGACTACTGAAGATGTTCCAGACAACTTTTTGGAGACCACCTGGAGACCTTCTTGAGAACTTTCTGGAGAACTTTCTGCAGAACTACTCGAAATGTTCTGGAGAACTTTCTGGAGACATTCTTGAGAACTTTCTGCAGAACTTTCTGAAGACTTTTGGAGAACTTTCTGGCGACCTTTTGAGAACTTTCTGGA